CCCCTGGTAACCACCACTCTACCTTCTGTCTCTGTGCATTCGACAGCACTCAGTGCCTCACGTGGGCTTGCACGGGGACTGACTTGTTCACACAGGTGACGCCCTCCAGGTTCACCGTGTTGGTAGCGTATTGTGGAATTTCCTTCCTTGCTGAGGGTGGAGAACTTTTCACTGTGTGCGCACCAGGTTTCGCTTGCCCACGTGTCTCTCGGTGCCCACCTGGGTTGATCCGTGGTGTGGCCACCGTGCACAGTGCTGCCGTGCGCATGCACGTACGGCTGCTTTCCGTGGTGCGGACTCTGTGTCCGGAGGTGGGGCTGCTGGGCCGAATGGTCACTGTGTTGTCGTGTTTTGAGGAATCACCGCATTTGTTTCCCGAGCAGCTGCAGCATTCTGCGTTCCCACCACCGGGGCACGCGGGCTTCGGTTTCTCCACGTCCTTGTTAGCACCTGTGATTTTCCGCCGCTGGTAGCAGCCGTTCCGACGGGTGTGAGGCGCAGGCTCCTGTTGGTTTTGGTTTACGTTTCTGTGGTAGTTGGTGACATCGAGCATCTTTCCACGTGCTGATTGGCCGTCTGTACGTCGTCTTTGGAGAAATGTCTGTTCAAATTCTGTGCCCATTTCTGAATTGGGCTCTTGTGGTTTTTGTTGTTGAATTTTAGGAGTTTTCTGTATGTTCTGGATATTACTCACTAGGTATGTGATTTGCAAGTGAGCTTCCTGTTCCGTGGCTGCCCTACTCTGCTGGGAGTGTCTGGACGTCCGGAATTGTTCATCAAGTCCCATTTGTTTATTTTTTCTTTTGTTGCCTGTGCCTTTTGTGTCCTAAGAAGTCACCCCAAATCCAGTGCCATGAAGCTTTTGCCCATGTTATAAGAGTTTATTGTTTAGGTCTCACGTTTAGGTTTCTGATCCATTCGAGCTGCTTTTGCGAATGGTGTTAGGTGAGGTACAGCGTCATTCTTGTGGACGTGGATACCGGTTTTCCCAACATCGTTTGTTAAAAAGACTGTCTTTTCCCCACTGATGGCCTTGACACCTTGTCAAAAACCATTTGACCCTGTGTTATGCAGTTGACTGTTGCATATTGATCTTGGAGTTGACGGTTCTCCCTCAGCGATTAAGCTCCCTTAGTAATTTTAGTGATTTATGTGTAGGTTTCTGCGGATGTTCTTTGTATTCCACTATACGCCTGCGGAAAGTGGTTGCTTTTCCGAAATCCGCATTTGCATTGTGTGTATTTCCCGCTTTCCCGCCTCAACTCAGACCTCTGCTGTGGCGTCGAGTGTGAGAGGGGACAGGTGACGGGTCTCCTTTCTTGTCTGGGGTGGGGGGAGCTTTCAGGGTTTTAACGCTGGTGTTTGCTGTGAAGTCGTCATCGTGGGGTCTCCTCATCGCATTAGAGAAGTTCCTTTCCCTTCCTGATTTGAGAAACGTTTTGATTGTAAACTGGTGAAGCCATTTGAACTGGGGGTTTTCTTTGTGGGAAAATTTCTGATTGTGGACTCAATTTATTTAATAAGGTATGAAACGGTTCATATTTTCTATTTCTTCTTTCATCACTTTTGGTTAAGTTGCATTTTCTTGACTTTTGCTGATTCATCTGAACATTCCAGTGCATTGACAGCAAGTTTCTCCACACGATCCGCAGCGGTGCCCCCCTTTCCAGTCTCAACGTCGGATGTTTGCACCTTTCTTTTTCTCTTGATTAGTTCATCGAGTGTGTACTAATTTCTTTTCAAAGAATTAACATTTGACTTTGTTGGTTCTCTCTGTTGTATTTTTTCTACTTTATTATTTTCTGCTTGTGTTTTTATTATTTCTTTTCCTCTGTTTTCTTTGAGTTAATTTGCTAGTCTCATTTTAAACCCTTCAGGTGAATTTTCTTTGCTTTTCTCTATATTTATTCCAAATGTGCATTTTTATTTTGTTTTTTTTGAGACAGAGTCTCACTGTGTTGCCTGGACAAGAGTGCTGTGGTGTCAGCCCAGCTCACAGCAGCCTCCAACTCCTGGGCTCAGGCGATCTCCTGCCTCAGCCTCCCGAGTAGCTGGGACTACAGGCATGCGCCACCACGCCAGGCTGATTTTTCTGTATAATTTTAGTTGTCCGGCTAATTTCTTTCTATTTTTTTAGTAGAGATGGAGGCCTCGCTCTTGCTCGGGCTGGTCTCGAACTCCTGAGCTCAAAAGATCTGTCTGCCTCAGCCTCCCAGAGTACTGAGATTACAGGCGTGAGCCACCACGCCCGGCCCCAAATATACATATTTAAAGCTATAAATTTCTGAGCATGGCATTAGCGGCATAGCGTGTTTCAAAGACAGCTTATATTGGCTGTGTCTCTGCGTTGCTCAGATGTGGTATGGTTCCTTTCTCTTCTGCTTGGTATGTGTGTATTCAGTCCTCTCCTTGGCAGACAGCTTAGTGCTCACCTCACTGCAGGAAGGTATCCATGGCCTGCTTCTAGGTTGGTATCTTGCAGCTGAGGGCAGAGGTCAGGGTTCACTTCTGGCCTACAGGTGTCAGACAGGTGAGCTTTGTAGGGAGGGAGGCTCTACTTTGCCATCCCTGAAGCAGGAGGGGAAGGGACTGGCCTGGGTGTTGGTGGAACGTGGGCTGTGCCTGTGGTCATTTGTTCAGAAGCTCGGTCAGGGTCTGCCATGCCAGTGCCACGTGCAGGTACCGTGGTGCTTGGTACCGACTGATGGCTGCTGTTTGGCCGCGTTTTGTGCTTCGGAGCCCAGCAACATCACTCAGAGCTGCCTGCGGAAGGTGCTGGCACCGTCCCTCCCAGTGGCAGCATTAAATACTCCCAGCACATTGGACAGAACCGTCCCCAGCGTGTCTTGTTGCCCCTGCTGCCTTGCAGATTGTGACGTCAGCCTCAACGGACCTCCAGGACTACACCTACTACTTCGTCCCGGCGCCCTGGCTGTCGGTCAAGCTGCTGAGGCTGCTGCAGTGCTACCCACCGCCAGGTAACGGCCGCGGTGCAGACGGGGGCTGAAGCCATCCAGCCACGTCACCAGGGTTAATTCCGTGTCTTGGATGTCAGTCTTTTGTTTACTGCCACACGAAGTCAGTAGCCCCGGGTCTGGTTCCGTGGCTCCTCCTGCTGCCGCCGGTGTCTCCGCTTTCGTGGAGCATTTACTGGGGGACTCACAGTTTCATTTAAGGTGTGGGTTTGTCTGTGCTTTTATGTGGTGTCTGAGCTGTGCAGTTTTTTGAGAATCTTTTTCAATAAAACTTGAATCCATTAGGAACTTTGTATCCTAAAATTTTAATCGTCTATATAACCTTAACATACATATCAAAGATATTTTTATGTTCATCTTTCATCCTAAAACATTATGTTTGACTCCTAAGGTATGTGTCTAGAAATAGAATTTCTTGGTGGAAGAATGTGCATTAAAATTTTGGTCACATATTCCAAATTGCCCTCTACAAATATTGCTTTGTTGTTCTAACCTTTATATTTTACTCAAATTTACTTTCATGTAGGACATTTCTTTGTAACTTTCTATGCTAAACATCTTTTCATCCTGAAGTAGAAACACTGACCATGTTGCAGTGCCCCCGCACGTGGTGGGTGGGAGGGGCTTCCCACCTTGCCGAGGCTGGGCCCTCGACCGCAGCAGTTCTTTCTGTCGGCTGCGTCTGTGTCCTAAGAACCTGGCCTTCCTTATTCTGAGATCTGGGGCGACGCAGACTCAGGCCCCTCGCGCTTGCCCACTGTGTGCGTCTCGTCATTCCTTCGTCCCCTCAGGCTGGAGGCTCTGATTTTTCTGGCCATTTCTGATGTGATGTGGTTGGCAGAATCTCCACCCTCCTAAGTTCTCCCATCCAAGCACTGACCAGGCCCAGCACTGCTTCGCTTCCGAGATCAGACGAGGTCGGGTGCGTTCAGGGTGGCACGGCTTTCGACAGCCCTTCTAAGTTCTTACCGTGTGGCTCCCAGGGATTCAGTAGGGCACCGTCTCTGTCCCGTACGGCCGGATGAGGTGTTGTTTTAGTAGCCATGTTGTGTGAGTTATTGCTGATGTTCTGGTAGTTTTGTTGGTTTCTCATTATTTTCTTCTGGTTCTAGTAGAACCTTAAAATTTTTTCTTTTTAAAAAAATTTTTTTTTGAAAGAGTCTCACTCTCACCTTGGCTGGAGTGCAGTGGCGTCACTGTATCTCATTGCAATCTCCAACTCCTGAGCTCAAGCCGTCCTCCCGCCTCGGCCGCCCAGAGTGCTGGCAATACAGGCTGAGCCACTGCGCCCGGCCCCAAATTTTTTCTCTTTGTGTTGCCGTTACGTGTTCTCTGTTTCTCTTAGAGCATCAGGTAGGGAAACCTTTTCGTCCCCTTTTCCTCCCACTCTTTGATCATATGTCTTGTCCATGTCTCTCAGATTTTATCCTCTCTAGACTTCCGTGTCTGTGTCTCAGCAAGAGTATTCCGTGTTATTTGCATTGAAATGTGCGTGCAGTTACCGTGGCTGTTAAATCCCCTTATTTTTAACATTTATACCATTTGAATAGGGATACCTACCAACCATTTCCTCACAGTTTTGTAAATACTCTTACCTGTGCATACAAATGTGAATAAGCTATTAAAAACGCAAGATGTGCAGCGTGTCGGAGAGCCTCGTCCCCGAGTGTGCAGCCAGGACAGGGCGCGGGGTGGGGCGGCCGGGGGCCCTGGAGCCTGCTAGCATCTCCCGTTTCGCCCAGAAGACCCTGCAGTGCGAGGCCGCCTGACAGAGTGCCTGGAGACCATCCTGAACAAAGCCCAGGAGCCGCCAAAGTCAAAGAAAGTCCAGCACTCAAATGCCAAGAACGCTGTGCTCTTTGAGGCCATCAGCTTGATCATCCACCACGACAGGTGAGGTGGCCGCTGAGGAAGGGCGATGCTCCTCCTCGCCGACACTGGGGGGGCGGGGCCTGTTCCGTATTTGTACATTTTGCCACACTGCGGTGCGCCGCAGCCTTCCCTTCCTTCCCAGCTGCTTGCGCGCTCCCCGTGAGCCGCCTGCTCTTCTCCAGCCTGGCCTGTCCTCTCTGGGCTTGGAGTCCCCACCCACTGCTTTGCTGGCTGAGGTCTCTCCGGGGCCTCCTCCTGCTCCCCTGAGCACCAGCTCCTGCCTGGCTTCTCCTGTGGTCGTACGGAGGGAAAAAGGGCTGTGCGCATATGTCCCGTGGGCTTTCCTGGGGCATGAGCTGCACTCAGAGTTGGCCGGGGTCATTCTGGGCAGTGGTGGTTGTGGCTGTGTCCCCCGACACCGCACAGAGAGACGCAGGGGTGGGTGGACACTCGGCTCAGCCCGAGGGTCTGCTGCCTTGCCTCTGCTGCTCAGCGCTCGCGCCGCGCTCCCTGCCTGTGCCCTTGCGTGTGGTGCCACGTTGGAGGGAGGGTTCCGTGAGAGCGTTGGCACGGTTCATGGGCAGGGTGGTGGGAGATGCCCACCAGGCCCTAGGTGACGAAGGAGCATGCCAGGCCATGGGCAGACGTTCTCTACGACTAGCTAAAGCCAGCCATTTTCTACAACAGTGTTTTTTACAAAGGTAGTTTCCCAGGACAGTCTGAGAGTCATACTTCAACAGGGTTGGGAACCGTTAAAATGAAACTTCCAGTATTAGAGGAAATCTCGTCCTTGTTACACGCACGGGAGGAGAAACCCAGTCACCGAGAGGCAGCACAGAGCAGGCAGAGACTTACCTAAGTTCTCTGGCGACTGGACTGCCCCACTCCCTGGCCTTTCCTCAGCCCCTCCCCAGGGCTCCCTCATGGCTGTCCCGGAAGGTTACCCCAGCTGAGAGCACAGCCCTGGCCACAGCGAGACCAGCCGCGTGGAGCACTGGGTGCAGGGTAGAGCTCAGGGGCTGCTGTTCTAGGAAGGTTCCTCCCGTCCTCAGCTCTTTGGAGTTGGTGGAATTCTGCAGGAATGTGCAGAAAAGCCCCAGCCGGTACGTGAGCTGCTGGTTTTCGTGGTGGTTTATGGGCAGAATGGATGTGAAACTGCCTTTGGGGTTTGGGGCTTCCTTGTCTCGGGCAGCGTGGTGGTGCTTAGCAAGGTGTGACTTTGCCGTCTGCGGCCCGACCCCGGCCTGCCGCTCGGCTCCCACCGAGTCTGTGTGGCGCACGTGAAGGAAACCTGCACCCCCTCTGCCCTCCATGCAGTGAGCCCAACCTGCTCGTCCGCGCTTGTAACCAGCTGGGCCAGTTCCTGCAGCACCGGGAGACCAACCTGCGCTACCTGGCCCTGGAGAGCATGTGCACGCTGGCCAGCTCCGAGTTCTCCCACGAGGCCGTCAAGACGCACATCGACACCGTCATCAACGCCCTCAAGGCAAGTGCTCCTCCTGGGGCGTGTCCGCTCCCGAGCAGGTGCCGCGGGCAGGCCTGTGAGAGTCGGGGGGGTGCGATGCTTCCTGTGGACACAGACCCTCTCCTTGGGACTGAGTCGGTGTCACCTGGCGCCATCACCGCTCTGCCTTGAGGTCCTGCCACGGCTCAAGGCCACACTGCCCATGACAGATGGAGTGGCCCAGCTGTCCCGTTAGGCTGCCCACTGAGTCTCTGTGGCGGCTCCGTCCCTGCTGTGGAAAGGTCGTGATGGGTGGCATCTTGCACACAGTAGTCCTGACAAATAGTTCAGTAATAGAAACGGTTCTTTCTGGTAGAAGGAACATTTGGTTCTTTTTATCTCAAGAAAACGCCCCCTTTGTGAAGGAAAATTCACTCTTTGAAGGATTAAGATCCCAGAGTTAGAAGAGCCCAGTCCAAGTTCTCTGTTCCCATCATATGCCCTTGGAGTCCCTGAGACGGCCTTGAGGGCTTGTCACAGGTGGTCCAGCACACACCGCGTCTACCTCAGTCTTGACTGTCGGCGCGGGAGGAGACCGAAGGCAGAGGAACTTCACGTCCCTGGTTCTAGCCCCAGCCTCACAGCTGTGGCAGAGCAGGTCCCACTCTGCCCCTTGGTGTCTACGTGCAACTCACGGATGTTTTGGGTGGTTATTTTGGGCTTTTTGTTCATTTATTTATTTCTGTAGCGATGGGTCTCACTATGTTACCAAGGCTGATCTTGAACACCTGGGCTCAAAATCTTCCCACCTCCGCCTCCCAAGGTGCTGGGGTTGCAGGCCTGAGCCGCGGCGCCCAGCCTGGCTGCCTGTTTTGAACAGGAGGCTGTTGAAGGGCTTTGGCGCCTCGAGGCTCAGCCGACACTAGTCTGCGTGTGGGCGTCGCCCAGTGCTAGTGGCGCCCACTCTGCCCTTTGCTGGGGACGTCCAGTGACTGCGGTGGCAGCTGGCAGGAGCCTTCCCCGGACCTGCACTGGTGCTCCTCAGGCACAGCGGTGCCGTGTAGCCTCTGCAGGTCTCGCGACACGCTCTTGGGAGGGGCGCGAGACCTGCCTTGTGACAAGCTCCCTGGCAACTTGGGAGGAGCTGGTCTGTGACCACACAATGGAGGGGCCTTGATGACCACACCAGGCTCTGTGCCTGGGCCTCAGAGAAGCTGGCTGTGAGGAGGGAGGAGTGAGCAGATGGAGTTCTGTTCTGGGCCGTCCAGATCCACTTGGTCCAAGTGCAGAGATCGAGGGGGGCGAGTGAGTCGGGGTGAGGGGCGGCCTGTTGGCTTCCTGGACACACGATGAGTGAGGGAGGGCGGGGTGGGCATTGGGACAGGCTGCCTGCCCGTGTGGGTTGGAGCGTGTGGATTCTCGTGCTGGGGGCCACGTGTGCTGCAGTGGGTGCGATGACGTCCACGAAGCCTTGCTCTGCCGTGCAGCCTTTCACTCTGCCCCTCGTTCCCCAGACCGAGCGGGACGTGAGTGTGCGACAGCGGGCCGTGGACCTGCTCTATGCCATGTGTGATCGCAGCAATGCCCAGCAGATCGTGGCCGAGATGCTGAGCTACCTGGAGACAGCCGACTACTCCATCCGAGAAGAGATTGTGAGTCCCAATGGCCTCGTCCGAGTCCCCTCCTGCCACAGTGTGACGGCAGCTGTGGGTTCCTTCGTGTGTCGTGGTTGCATTCCCCAGGCTGGGCGGGGGCCTCCTGGGTATCAGGCACAGGTCCCTTGGCCTCAGCTTTCCTGTCTTCACAGTCATGGAAGCTCCTCCCACTGTTAGTGGCCGTCCTGACTGCTGTCCTTTCAGTGTGATGACCCCGTGTGCGCCAGGCCTGAACCGGGCTGCAGTGGTCTGTGCTGAGTTCTTTGCTGGACGTGTTTTCTCTGTATTTCTCGACATCTCTAGGAAGGAAAGACTCTGAGCCGTAGGTTGGCTCCAGTGTTAGTCTTGTTGTCTGCGAAGTAAGTACGCACACCTGCCAGGTGTTGAACTTCAGCAGGCTCTTCTGTGCAGGACGGAGCGTAACCCGCAGTCTGAGGGAAGAATTCTCAGTGGCCTCATGTCAGCAGAGAAGAGGCCAGAGCTGTCTTTGGTGCGCACCCAGGTCTGGGTGACTTCTCAGTGATCACCACTGTGATGGTGGACGGTGGGATGTAAGTGGGTAGGCCGCGGGCCAGTCGGTCTGCATTGGCAGACGGGCTGCTTGCTGTCCTGCCACCAGCTGGGGCACAGCCTCTCCATCGTAGGAAAACTGTTTTCTTCCTTTCGTTTTCCTTTTCCTTTCCTTGGCAGAGACAGCCCATTTTCTTTTTTTTGGAGAGACAGAGTCTTGCTCTGTCGCCCAGGCTGGAGAGCAGCGGGGTGATTGGCATTCACTGCAGCCTCGAACTCCTGGGCTCAAATGATCCTCCTGCCTTAGTCTCCTGAGTAGCTGGGACTACAGGAGCAGGCCAGTGTGCCCAGCTAATTTTTAAAATTTTTTTGTAGAGACGGGGTCTCACTATGCTGCCCAGGCTGGTCTCGAACTCCGGGCCTCAAATAATCCTCCCGCCTCTGCCTCCCCAGGTGCTGGGGTTACAGGCCTTAGCCACTGTGCCCGGCCTGAAGAGCATTTTCCTATTTGTCTTTCTGAGAAGCAAACACAACTTGGGGCCTCCTCGGGAGCTTTGCAGAGTGCTGGCGTTGAAGCTGGCCGTGGGTGACGGGCTTGCCCTGTGCAGGCGTGTGTGGTCGTGTCCGGTGAGACTTGTGGGTTTTCAGTGGTCTTTTACTTTGCTCAACCCTTTTGCGCTGAGGGGTGTGGTTACCGCCGCCGTGCTTCAGCGAGTCCCTGCAGCCTGCCCCAGCAGAGCAGGAGCTTCTTGGAGGTGCCTCTGGAGGGGACTGCTGACCCTGGAGTGTGGCTTCAAGGGCAGGCCTCGGGGGTTCAGTGTAGGGCAGGGGTTGGGCAGGTGGCCTGTCCACCTCAGCCGGTGGTCTGATTCTGGCCTGGCTGGGGCAGTGTGGCCTGGTCTCAGCACCTATGGTGGGTGAGGCTGGCATTGGGGACAGCATTCACAAGAACCTGCGTGTTGTCTGGGTGTTCCCAGTGTAGTCTTGTGCGTTGGTCAGCTCAGCGTCTGCTCAGGTTCCCTCTGACGAGTACCTGTCCCCATCTGCTCCACCCGGGTGAAGAGTGCGACACTCACTGTCCCAGGATACTGAGCCCACCTGTCCGTCCAGCCAGGCGTGTTAGAACATGTTGTCTGTGGTGGTGCTGGGTGCTGGGTCTCTAGACCTGGACCAGGCTCACTCCTGGCCCACAGGGCGGGCGTGTCTCCCTCCATAGAGGGACAGATTGTGAGCAGGACTGTAGGTCTCTGTGTGCAGAGCCTGGGGATGGCTGGAGGGAGCACCCCATACCTGGGGGCCTCCAGGCCTGGAGGACTTCCTGCAGGAGGCAGCAGTGGCAGCTGAGGGAGGGAGGATGGTGGTGCCGAGGCCACTGGGAGGGCAGGTGGGGGGCAGTGGGGACACGGCTGGTGTGACTCTGAGGGCTCCTGAGTGCACAGCTGTGGGCTGGGGCGGGGCTTGAAGGCAGCGTCTTTCGGAATGATGCTCTGGCAGCGGCACGGGGTCAGTTTGGGGGCCGCGGCTCCGGGCAGAGGATCTAGGGGCACAGTTGAGGGCACGGGAGGGCTGGCTAGAAGGAGTGGGTAGGACGGCGGGCGGGGGGTAAGAAGCAGAGGGTCTCCCTGAAGAGTGAAGGGAAACATGCAGGGCCCAGGGAGGTAGCGTTTGAGGGGAGAGAGGAAAAAAGCAGTCCCCAGGCGAGGTCTTTGAGAAAAGCGGGCCAGAGCAGGGTGACTCTCCAGAGAAGGGTGGCCAGGGCCCCCCCCCCCCGGGGGTGTCAGAGCGGCCGCTGCCCTGAGGGCTGGGGCTTGGGAGGGGGAGGGCCTGCGGTGGGAGCTGCCTCCGCCATGGCCTGGGGATGGCTTCTGTGAGGAGCGGCACCGCTGCCTGCGCGAGGCTCTCGTGTGCTTTGGTGCACTTGGCTCGGCCTTTCTGTGTCTCTTCCGGGCAGTCGTGTAGCCTTCCTCGGTGAAGTCAGCGACTGAAACATTTCCAGGTTCATGGGCTCCGTTGGAAGCCCGGGAAGAGCTTCCCACGTCCCGAGCTTCTATAGAGACAATTGGTCCTTCTGAAGCCCCCGCTCTGACTCTGGGTGACAGCGCGAGCTTGCACGGCTGATGGCCCACGGGCACCCCTGACCGGCTGCCCCCGCAGGTGCTGAAGGTTGCCATCCTGGCCGAGAAGTACGCGGTAGACTACGCCTGGTACGTGGACACCATCTTGAACCTGATCCGAATTGCTGGTGACTACGTGAGTGAAGAGGTGTGGTACCGTGTCATCCAGATTGTCATCAACCGGGACGACGTGCAGGGCTACGCCGCCAAGACCGTGTTCGAGGTGTGGCCCGTCAGGGGCAGGTGGGGGATCCCCAGCTGCATGACGGTGCAGTTTCCGGGGATGTCCTGGGCCCTCTCGCCACGCTTGGAGGTCCTGGCGCGGCTGCCGACGCCTCGCAGGGCTCAGTGTCTCCTCACCTGACTCCCACACTCTTGGCTCTCGAGGGCCTGTGCCGTACTCCGAGTGCATGAACGCACCGTGCCACGGGGTCCGTGTGGTGGGTCTTGCCTTCTCTGTCACAGGTAGCAGCCAGCTAGGGAGCATGTGTGCCTGTGGGGTGCCAACACCCCGTTCCTGGAGCAGGGACCTGGCCTGAGCCTCAGCTCCTCTCTAGCGTGGGCCTGATGTCCCTCCTGTCACAGCTGCTGCGGGAAGCAGGGTGGGGGCTTAGACCAAGGAAGCTCTGGGGGGCTCACGTTGACGTACAGCACACCCACGCAGAAGTGCCCACCTGCTCACCACGTTCCTGGTCTCATAGGCTCTGCAGGCTCCGGCGTGCCACGAGAACCTGGTCAAAGTGGGCGGCTACATCCTGGGGGAGTTTGGAAACCTGATCGCTGGGGACCCAAGGTCCAGGTAAGAGACTGGGGAAGGATCCCAGCTGGGCCTGCCGGGTGGGTCCGGCAAGGCCCCTCCTGTTCTGGGTTGACATCTTGTTTTCCTGCAAGTGATACAGGAACAGGATTGTAGTTGACGGTAGAGAGACGTGGTCGAATGGCCAGCGTTGTCGGAGGGGGACGTTTGCAGTCAGATCTGGGACTTGAAGTGGGGCCTCACGGGTCTGGTTCGGGGAGAGCTCCTCTCCCGCGCCCCTGCCCAGCCAGGGCGTGCGGGCAAGAGGAGCCGGGTGACAATCTCGTCCCCCGCCATGCCGTCCCTGCCCCCCAGCCCTCTGGTCCAGTTCAACCTGCTGCACTCCAAGTTCCACCTGTGCAGCGTCCCCACCCGGGCGCTCCTCCTGTCCACCTACATCAAGTTCGTGAACCTCTTCCCGGAGGTGAAGACCACCATCCAGGACGTGCTGCGCAGCGACAGCCAGCTGAAGAACGCGGATGTGGAGCTGCAGCAGCGGGCCGTGGAGTACCTAAGGCTCAGCACCGTGGCCAGCACCGACATCCTGGTAGGCAGGACTCGCCCGCCACACGTGGCTGGAAGTCGCTGCGTGCCCCCAGCCCACCTCACCACGGGGCCACATCAGTGTCTGGGCTTTGGAAGCAAAGGGAGCTCTGGACCAACCTGTCCCTTTGTTCTTCCTGACAAGGCGACCGTCCTGGAGGAGATGCCACCATTCCCAGAGCGCGAGTCCTCCATCCTGGCAAAGCTCAAGAAGAAAAAGGGCCCAAGCACGGTCACGGACCTGGAGGACACCAAGCGGGAGAGGAGCGTGGACGTGAACGGGGGCCCCGAGCCCGCACCGGCCAGCACCAGCGCTGCGGTGGGTCCCTTGCCTGCTGCGCGCCCAGACCCCTCAGGCCCACCCCAGGTCGGGCCAGCAGAGCATTAGCCTATCAGGGAGAACCGTTCACCCTCACGGCTGCTGGGCTCAGGCGCCCTCTCCCGCACTCGGCTCTGCATCCCCTGTCCAAGCCCGGCTGCTGCACCTGGGCCAGCATCTGCCTGCCGGCCGTGTCTTCCAGGCGTCCTACTCTGCGTGTCAGTGTGTTTTAGGGGAAGTGGTCACTCCTCTGCTCAGGACAGCCTGGCGTGGGAGGCCTGCGCACCCGCTTTGTTGGTGAGAGCACACTCACCTTGCCCTGTCCGGAGGTTTTCTGCAGTGGGTTGGGTTACAGCTGATTCTCCATATGCGCGTGACATGATGAGAATATTCACGGTAATGGAAACGTCCTTCGTTACTTGTTGGGTGAGAAGTGTCGTTTTGAGAGTTGCATTTTTGTTTCCTTTTCCTCCGTAACTGGGGTGGCAACTCGGTGTGAGCAGGCTACTGGCTGTCCTGTCAGAGCTTCACTCTGCACGCCGGCCGTTGTCGCCAAGACCCCTGCCTAGGAGGGCCCCCGTCTGGGCTTTCTGCTCGTCCAGTTACAGGGAGCCCTGGAGGGACTTGTTCCCTCCCCAGGATGCTGGCCCGGGGGGCGGGCGCTGGTAAATGCCGCTAACCAGTGGCAGGCGGCCCTTCGCCAGGACAGGCCCCCGTGGCCACATGTGCCACACGCAGAGAGACCACAGCCCGGGCAGTTTGCTCGTCAAGAGGGCATTTCCATCTGAACCCTGGAGCTCCTTGCCGGGGGTAGGGGGCGACTCGTGCCCCTGCTGACCGCGGTGCAGCCCCTGGCCGACAGAGGCCAGGCCGTGACGAGGCCTGTATTCTCCAGAGCGCGACAGCTCGTCTCCCTTCTCCCCTTCCCAACTCGGGGTCCTGGGCGCAGCGCCCAGCCCACTGCCGTCTCCCCGCGGTGCTCTGATCCGTCCTGAGGCGCTGTCACATCTGCCTTTCCGGTGCCTGCTCAGGGGCTTCCTGCAGCTTGAGTTCCGTGATGAGTCAATTTTGGAGCGAACCATAAATGCACGTTTTCTCCCGCTGTCTTCCCTTTGTGCCCGAGCAGTTCAGTGGGAGGCCAGCTCTGCGGATGCTGTAGTGTTTCCTCACGTGCTGCCCTCGAACCCGTCCTGTGGGACGCCAGCAACCAGGCGCCTCGCGGTGTAGCCTCCATCCGTCCTCAGTCCGTCTCTCCCTCTCTTTCGGGCATCGTGACGCTCCAGTTTTGAAGAGGTCACGGAGGTCTTCCTGGTGGCTTCAGAGATTCTGTTGATGGATTGGGCCAGCAGAGCGGCGTGGCTTTCTGGAGGCAGAGTGCGCGTCGAAGGTTTGCTTACGCTGTGCCAGGGCAGGGACCTTCCCAGGGACACTGGGTGGCAGCTCCTCTGTGGGGTCCAGGCCAGGGAGAAATGGCAGCAGCTCTGCCCGGCTCCAGGCCAGGGTGGCTGCGTGCGGAGGGAGACGCAAACCCTGCAAGGCTGGTGTGCAGGGCTGCCTGTCAGCCAGCTTTCGGCAAGGTCGCCTTGAAGCCTTCCAGAAACCTGACTGCTTGTCCCGACCCGGGCAGGGTGCTGGGCTCTTTCGTTCCTCTCAGAGGCTCCGACCTCATGAGGAACACAAAGGGGCTTTGGCAGCTGCTGTGACAGTTGCCGTCAGTCTCCCTTCACTGGGTCCTTGACTTGTCTCTTATGTGGCCCTGAGCCATGAGGTGTGCATGGGCCCCAGGCCTTTGGCCGCACACAGGCTTGTCTGGGGAGGTCCAGCGTGGATGTTGCGGGGGGCCTGGAGCTCAGCTCTGGCACGTGTGTGGCTTAGGAGGAGTCAGACGGAAGTTCCCGGTGGGGTGTGAGCAGGAACTGCGCCCGGAGCAGGTGTGAGGGTCCAGCAAGACTGGACTTGGCAGTAAGGTGCCTCCGTGGAGTCTCTTCAGGGTGAGTTCGGTTGGGTTTCTGACTTCAGGCTGCAGGTCCCTCCGGACCTCCCTACACTGGCGTCGTTTTAAAATGCAGCACGACACCCTGACTTTGCATTTCTGTGAGGTGGCCTTAGGGTCTAGACTCAGATGATTATAAACCGATTTTTCACTTTCGTGGATGTCCAGAGGGACACTGAAAAGTCATTCGAGGTGAGTCTTCAAGACAGGTGTCTCACGTCTCTGGTTGTTGCCGGTGAAGTGCCAGGAGCATCCCGTGATCACGGTGGCAGTCGACCCCACACCCCTCCACAGTGCTCGTAGCTGGGGGGGTCCCGTGAACGGCTTCGGGTGTGTCAGTTTTGTGGGGCCTGTGGAATATATCCTAGTAAGTTCGTTGCTTTTTTTCATCTTTTAAAACCTATTTTAAAACCTATTCTCGTGACAGAAGCATACATGGTCTTGTTTCTGAAACCGTACGTTTCTTATTGATCTCTTTCATGGTAAAAACTGTTTCATAACTTTTTTTCCATTCAAATAACATTTGGGAAAAAATGTAGGCTATTTTTCTAGTTGTGTGAAATTGGGACTAATCTTTTAAGTGCAGTTATCTTTAGGCTCCACTCTGGGGTGCACTTGCTTCCAGGAAATGGCGCTCACACCCGTCGCTCACTGACCTGGTGTGGGCCGGCCGTGTGGCCGCCATGGGGAGGCCGTGTGTGCGTGAGCTGCCTGGAGTCAGCAGGCCCGGGTGCTCCATGCTGACACTCTCCTTCCTTCCTTTCCAGTCTACACCCTCTCCGTCGGCAGACCTGCTGGGTCTGGGGGCTGCCCCTGCTGCCCCTGCGGGCCCCCCACCCTCCTCTGGCGGCGGGCTGCTCGTGGATGTGTTCTCAGACTCTGCCTCCGCGGTTGCGCCTCTCGCTCCTGGCTCCGAAGACAACTTCGCCAGGTAGTTGGGTTTCCTGAGTCCTGGAGGTGGGACTGGTGCCCTGAGCTCCCTGACTTCTGTGGGGCCCACAGCCGGCTGGACAGAGGTGGGCAGCACTGCTCCCTCCCCTCCCGGGTTACTGCTTGGGAGAGACCACGGGAGCTGCCATTGTGTGGCTGGGTCTGCTCTGTAACTCCCCACCCTTGCCCTTGCTCGTGGACTGCCGCTGTTCATTACGGAGTGACCATTTCGAGAAGGAAAAACAAGGTAAAAGAAGCCACATGGAGGCAGGCGCAGTGGTGGCGCACGCCTGCAGTCCCAGCCCTTTGGAGGCCGAGGCAGGAGGATCGCTTGAACCCAGGAATTGGAGGCTGCAGTGAGCTGTGATGATGACACAGCATTCCAGCCTGGGCAACAGAGCGAGACTCTGTCTCAAAAACACCACGAAAGGGGCAGCCACATGGGCTGGTCGTCGGCAGTGCCTGTCTGTGCAGTGGCGTTGGAGCCTGCCCTTCGCCTGTTCTCCGGCGTTTGTAGCTGTTTCTTCTACCCCTCGCCCCTTTCCAACCTGATTTAATGTTCCGTCTTTGCCTTCTGGGTTCCCATCCTTTTGGTTTTTTCAAAGGAAACATTCTTTAGTTAGTCAATCGAGGATCCCCCCATATAGCCCTTGGCCCGCGCATGGCCTGGACCTTCCTGTCGGGGCGTCTCTCCTCCTGCCCAAGTCCGCAGGTGTCTGAGCACCTCTGGGTTTGCCCCGGCCTCTTTGTTCCTGTGTCTCCCGTCTTCAAAACACGAACGTCAGACCGTTCTTCCCTCTTTCTGTCGGCTGATCCTGTGCATTCTCCTCCCTGCCGTCTGCCCTCATCTGTCTGCTTGTTTCTAAGTCAGGCTGGAGGTGTGAGGGGTCCCTGACCCCTGTCCCCCTGCCCTGCCAGGAGCTCGGGAGCAATGGCTCTCTGTCCCCGGTTGTGAGGACCACAGTGGAATTCTTGTGGCTTTAATTTTTTTTCCAGTTTCCTTGTATTTGTTTCGACCACTAATTATTTCCTACTGTTGAAAATGATGTAGGAAGGACAGGTTTGGTGCAGGTTGCCTCTCTGGCTGAAAACAGACTTTTTACTTGTCTTAGAATGGCTGCATTTGAGATTGAAAAGCACCACACGAAGCCCAGGTTTCAAGGCCCTGGCAGTGGCCACTGCCTGCTGTCCTGTAGGGACAAGCAGGGGCTGTCCGAGGCACCGGGAGACCATCCCGGGCAGGATGCATGCCCTCCGGTGCCTGCCTGTCTCTGCGAGGCTGCGCCAGAAGCCACACTTGGCCCTTGCGCCCTCCTCAGTTGGTGGTGCTTCTCCCAGGTGGCCAGCCCAGTTCCCCAGCGTCTGGCACGTGCTGGAGTGTGGCCATCCTGGCTCCGGTCTGGCTGCAGGGCCAGCGGGGCCATCCGGGATCTGGTGTGCACTTGACGTAGGTAGAGGTGTGGATGCCCTGCACAGGCACAGCTGGCGCTGTTGCAGGATGAGGAGGCTGCATCTCCACTGCCTCCTGCAGTGGGTTTATTTGCCCCCAACTTCCTCTGGGTCAAACCGTAGTGGAGACGACCCTTTAAAAAACAACCAGCTAAAGACATTGACTGCAAGGGCTTCTCAGTCCCGTAGCGGGTGATCAGCAAATGCCCTTCATGTGTCCTTGACAGATCTCAGTTTAAAGGGGCTTAGTCCACACCAGGTGTGTAAACTGGGCCCTGTGTGGCGTCTGAGCCAGCATGGGTGGGGCAGCGACTCCAGGGCAGCTGAGCCCCGGGTGCAGCAAGCGCTTGGACCTCTCCCGCCGGCTCTTGCCTGGCCGCTTCTCCTCCTCTTGTGTGACAGTGGCCTCTGTGAGGTCCCTGGGAGACATGGCAGCACGTGTCCTTAGATGCACTGTGGAACACTGTTCTGTGTGTCGGATGGACTGCTTTTTATTTCATGAATCTTTTTGCGTGGCTACAGCTGGATGGAGGCCTGGCCAGTTGTGAGGGGGTGCTGTGGCCTTCAGCGGGGCGTGAGGTGACTGGGGTGGGGTGGAGTGGGCAGCACCCCTTCGAGCCCCGTGGGTGTGCCGAGGCCCCCACGGCATCTTCCGCCATCGCTCTGCGCCATCTCTGTTGCTGCTTCCCCTGTCGTCTTCCTGAGCTGCTCCAGGCCGCCCTGCCCTGACTTCCAGACTGTGAGGTGCTGGCGAGCTCGCCTGCAAGCCAGCAGCGCTGAGATCGGGGAGGGTGCGCCGTGGCAGGAAACTTGGCAGAGCCAGAGCGAGTGCAAGCGCACATGGAGACTTCCAGGTGTGGGCCGCCGCGTCAGAGCCTCTGTCTCTCAGGCGGGGAGGGGCCCAGCGCTGTGCCCTCTGCACGCTGCCAGCCCCACTGCCTCACCCCGGGCTGCGCCTGGTCCTGACTGGCCGCACTCCCGTCTCTGCGCTGCGCTTGCTCCCCAGTGCCCAGGCAGGGCGCATGGGAGGGCGCAGGCTGCCTGCCCCACCCCTTGTCTCCTCTGGACCCAGTTCACTGTGTAGTTGCCCCTTATGTTAGAGGAGGTCAGAAAACCTTTAAGTTCTTCTGAGGTAAACACAAGCAAAAACCAACAAATGTTATTTTATTTTTCCTTAATTCTATGTGGTGTAGACAGATGCCCTTATAGTGAGCAAAATCCCGGGTTCTCTGTGCAGCGTCAAGACTGACTGTGCACTGAGGAGGCTGGGGGAGGCGCCCGGCGCCCAGCGGGGCCCAGCTCAGGGGCAGGCCGCTTGCCATACGTGGCATGTCCACGGGGGTGGCCGGGGTCCGGTGCTGAGGGCCCCACCTGGAGGGGCGTGTGGTGCCTGGTCCGTCCAGAGCACGTGCGTGTCATGCCCGTCCTGTCCAAGTCCGTGAGGAGCGTTGGCTGTGGACTAGCACTTTCAGGAAAAGTGGCTGGACCCAGGGACCTCATAGGTCTCTCCCGGGCCGCCTGTGTCCCCGGCTGCGCTCACATTCTGTCGCTGGTGGCTGCTTGCTGTGCTGGTCTTGGGAATAATTTTCTGCTTTTTCATTCCCTCCTGTCCCATAGAGGTTTTTCCGGCCTTAGTTTGCTTTTCCAAACAACCCGTGTATTTCAGCAGGTGGCTTTGAGTGACGCATATACTATCCCTTCTCCCCTAGGTTTGTTTGTAAAAATAATGGTGTGTTGTTTGAAAACCAGCTGCTTCAAATTGGACTTAAGTCTGAATTTCGGCAGAATTTAGGTATGTGTTTTAATTACTTCATTAAAACTTCTCTTAGAAATTAGAGGAAATTATGAGAAAATATTTGCAGATCTTGTACTGATGTGGGACTGGTATGCAGAGTATGTAAAGAACTCCTCCAACTCAACAGCAAGAAACCAGCCCAGTTAAAAATGGGCAAAGGATCGGAGAAGACATTTCTCCAAAGACATGCAAATGATCAATAAGCCCATGACAAGGTCCTCAAAGTCACCAGTCAGCAGGGAAACGCAAACCAAAACCACGGGAGATGCCACCTCTGGCCTTAGGATGGCCGCAGAGGAGCGGGATGGGGGTGGAGGAGTTGGAGCCCGTGCTCTGGGGCGTGTGTGATGGAGAGCTGCTGCGGAGACAGCGTGGCGGCTCCTCAGAAAATTAAGATAGAATCACCACATGGTCCAGCAATCCTACTTCTGGATGTATCCCCAAAAGAATTAAAAGCAGGGTCTCAAAGAGGAGTCCGCACACCCCTGTTCAGTGCAGCACTGTTCACAGCGGCCAGGGTGGCAGCAGCCCAGGTGTCCGTGGGCAGATGAGTGGTACACGAAACGTGGGCTGTCCGTGCAGTGGGACAGTGTTCAGCCTTAAAAAGAAGGAACTCCTCGCTGGGCAGTGGCTCACGCCTGTGAGTTCCAGCACTCTGGAGGCCGGGAGCCAGACCTGAGCCTCTTAGAAAAGGACAAGAAGGGGGCAGGAGGTTCTGACTCAGGCTATGAGCCTTGAGGACACTGCTGAGTGAGACAGGCCAGACACAGAGAGACAAGTGTGTGAGGGGTGTTCATGAGGTCCCCAGAGCAGGCGGGTCTGTGGAGACAGGGTGGATGTGGCCCCCGGGGCTGGGGCGGGGGCGGGCAGGGAGTTAGTGTTTACCTGGGACAGAGCTTCAGTTTGGGAAAATGAGAAAGTTCTGGAGATGGGTGGTGGTGATAATCCCACAGTGTGAATGTGCTTAATGCCACTGAACTGTATGCTTAAAAATGGCTAAAATGGTAAATTGTAGGTTATGTGTATTTTTCCACAATTTAAAAAAAGAAAGGAGAAAACCTTTTGAGGGAGCAAAAAGCCCTCCGAACCCCGGGGGCTGCTGCCGCAGCGGCCGCTCTGGGCCGTGGCCTCTGCCTCCTCCCAAGCAGGAGGGCTCCTTTTTTTCTGCTGTGAAAACCAACGGGAGAGTGTGAGAGGAGGGGAGAGGTAGACACCTGCCTCCAGGTGCCTTCTAGGAACGTCGCGAGGGTTGGCAGAGTAATGCCCAGATGATGTCATTCTATTCCTGATGTGATAAGGCATTGAGCTCTCGGCCATGACGACATCACCTAGGTTTTTGTTTTTTAAATCATGGGAGGAGTGATGACAAACTGTCCTTTTCAGAATATTTGCGGTTTCCTTTCCTTTCTGAATTCAAAGGGTGTGAAAATGTTCACAAAGACTTTTGTAAAGATTTCTACTGTGGTATATGTCATCGAACCTGGCAGTGCTTCCTCAGTGTGGGCCTGCGCAGAGCTGATGACCCGGGTGCGGTGAGGCTCAGCGTGTGCTGGTTCTGAAGGGCAGTCCCCGGCCGGGCAACTCCCATGCTGAGCTGTGTGGACGCAGGCCCAGCGGGGCCGCCCTGGGAGGAGGCGGCCTGGGAGGAGGCGGCCTGGGAGGAGCAGGTGTGGGTGTCCGTGTGCTGCGGTCACAGGCCGGGGCCTCCCCAGAGACGGTGCCTGCAGGCCCCGCCAGGTGTAGCTGAGCCTCCCAACCTGGCATCTGTTGGTTCTTCCCTGTGGACACCGTCCTCGTGTAGGTGCGTAGGAGGAAGCCGCAGGAGAACGGTGTCCAGGGCAGTCCCTGCTCCCAACTTTGGCACGCTTTTTTTGAAACCACAAAAAATTTGTTCTTAATTTTAACAACAATCATAGATCACAGTAATTAAATTCAGCTGGGCTTACAGGGGCTCTTTTGTTTTCAATATTAATACTGCTCAGGATAATATCGTCCGGGATAAATCCTTCAGGGTGAGTATGAAATGATGTGTGTGAAATAAATTGTTTTTGTTTCCTCCTAGGTCGGATGTTTATATTTTATGGTAATAAGACCTCCACGCAGTTCTTGAATTTTACTCCAACGTTGATCTGTCCAGATGACCTTCAGTCTCATATCCTTGGTCCCAGCCCCCACAGACACATAGTAATTTGGGGTTTAGAGGAGGCTTTTGAGGAAGGTTTTTATTCTTGTTTTTGTTTTTGCTTTGGTCAAAATAGCAGAATAATTCCAGATGCTGCAGTGATCGTCCATATTTGAGAGTCGAGTTTTGATAATACATCTGAAAACAACATGCATGTGTGTGTTCCCCGTTCAGCTGGCTAGTTGGAGGCACTTTCTTCTTCAGCTTGTTTCAGTTCTCTCGTGGCTTTATCTTTGGTCCCTTGGGAACTTTGGTTTCCTTCTCTGCCAAGTCTCTCGGGTGGGCTGTGGGCGCAGAGCGTGACGGTACCGTCTGGCGTGGAGCCCTCCACGCCCGGGCAAGCTTGTGTCTGTTTCTGGCAGCTCTTTGTTCGGACTGCAGGTTTGTCTCTCAGTAAATATCGGAAATGTTGTTAGAACGTTCCCAGCTAGAAGATGGGAAAGCTGACACCAGTGATGCTGTCCAGGTATCTCTTCCTTCGAGGATAGGTCCCCCAAGTAAAATTGGCATGAAGACCCCAGCTTGGCCAGAGAAGGCAGCGGCTTCCCTTGGGATTCATGGTCAGAGACAAGTGTGGAACAGCGACCTCCTGACCACGGGCCAGTCCACATTCATTTACGGTGAACGTGTTTACACGCAGACTGTTTAAAGCCGAGTGTTTCAGAACCATTATTAAAAATACATGTACGTGGTATCAGCTGTAGCAAAGGCTTTGTCCAAGGTCAGGAGCGGGAGCCCTGACTCTGCAGAGCCCCACTCGGCGTCTCTCCCTGGAGGTCCACGGGGCTGCCCGGGAGCGTGGGGAGGCACCAGGCCCAGCAGCCTCATGGCCGCTCCTTGCTGGCCTCCTGGGTCCAGACTGGCAGTAATGGTCGTTTCTTCGCGGGGTGGGGGTGTTATAGACAAGCCCTTTTTTTGACAAAGTAGGGCAGATTCTCTTCTGATTCACATAGTGCTCGAAAGCCTGTTCTAGAATCCTTCAAGTTGTCTTGCTGTAATACTGAGTGTTAGTTTCTGCTAACAGCAGCAGAAATCTATACCAAGTTCCATAGTTGAGGTTCGTAAAATGAAAACAAATAAGTAAAATAGCCAATATATAACCTAAGCAACTTTTTAGAAGGGTCATTTTGGTAGTAATGAGATACAAACGGTATTTCGTGGATTGTCTGGTGGTGGGACGCAGCGGGGTGGAGGGCAGGGCTGGGCGATGCATGCAGCCAGCCCTCCTCCCTCATGCGGCCGCAGACCTGTGGTGGGCACTGCCAGCACTCCAGCTGCTCTCCGCCGCTGCGGCTTGCTCAGCCTGGCCCTAAGTGCCAGTGTGGCCTGGACTCCTTGACGCGCACACGTCTGAACCTGCAGACCAAGCCTGTGGACCCGACCGTGGATGGCGGTGCCCAGGTGCAGCAGGTGGTCAACATTGAATGCGTGTCCGACTTCACAGAGGCGCCGGTCCTCAACATTCAGTTCAGGTAGGTGCTGTCGTGGAGTGCGTGGGCACCTGAGCTGGGCCTAGGAGCTGCTAATCCTCACGGAGCCTCGGTATCCCTCCTGAACACAGCTGTACACGGATGCAGCGTCAGCTCTCTGGAGCATAGGACGTGGGGGAGCAACTCCAGCCAGGACTCCGGGTGGCAGGACGGTCGTGCCCACGGCAGGGCTTTGGGTGCCGCGCTGTGGCCGGGCAGCTGGGGGATATTTCTGAGCCCAGGCTCTTCCTGCTGAGAAACAGGGGCCCGCCCCACGGCGTGGCAGACAGCCAGGCCCCGTGCCACCCACTGGGCTCAGCCTGGAAAGATGGCTGCAGGGCAGATGGTGGCAGCTGGTCTCCTCCAGACCCTGGTCCACGGTGTGGTCTTTTTGTGTGGTTGTACTCAAATTGTATGCTCCAGTTTGCTTATTTTCTTTTTTTTTTTTTTTTTTATGAGACAGCGTTGCTGTCCTGCTTAGCAGTGTGATCAATAATGTATACACACTTTTGAGACAGAGTCTCACTTTGTTGCCCGGGCTAGAGTGAGTGCCGTGACATCATCCTAGCCCACAGCAACCTCAGACTCCTGGGCTCAAGTGATCCTCCTGCCTCAGCCTCCCAAGTAGCTGGGACTATAGGCATGCGCCACCATGCCCGGCTAATTTTTTCTATATATTTTTTGCTGTCCAATTAATTTCTTTCTATTTTTGGTAGAGATGGGGGTCTCGCTCTTGCTCAGGCTGGTTTCGAACTCCTGACCTTGAGCGATCCACCCGCCTCGGCCTCCCAGAGTACTAGGATTACAGGCATGAGCCACCGCGCCCGGCCAGTTTGCTTATTTTTCAAAAACACAAGTGTTTTGTGTTGCTACCATTCATTACTTTCAGATGACGACAACACGGTGTTCACAGTCAGCCAGATCCCTGTTGCATGTTTGCAGAGTTAAAAATGTTTGGAAAAGCACATTTTCAAACATTAAAAATATGGAGAATTTAAGACTGTGTGCTTTGCAGAATTTGGGGAAATAGACGTGCAAATTTTTGTTTCATTCTGTAGACAGTTGCTTTTTTTTAGTCTTTTCATGGGGAAAAAATAACCCACACGATTGACAGACTTGGGCTTCCAGGAAACAGATTACTGGGAGAGGCGAAGCCACGCAGGTGTCCTACAGGGCGTCTGTGGCCCGTCTGCTGGGAGGAGATTCTGGGCTGCACGTGGCAGGGTGGGGGCTCGAGGCTTGGTCCCCCTTAAAGTGGCCGTTGGTGGATGGGGATGCCTTTCACCCGTGGCCTTTGCCTGGCCCCTGAGGATGTACCCTCTGCCCTCCGCAATGCGCCACTGCTGCTCGCAGGTATGGCGGCACCTTCCAGAACGTGTCTGTCCAGCTGCCCATCACACTCAACAAGTTTTTCCAGCCCACGGAGATGTCGTCTCAGGACTTCTTTCAGCGCTGGAAGCAGTTAAGCAAGTAAGAGGGCGGGTCCCGAGGGGCGGGGGTGGGGGAGGGGTCCACTCCACGCTGCGGTCTCATCTCCGGCCGGCCCAGAATACTCAGCTTTGTCGTCGCTGCTCCCAGTCCACAGCAGGAAGTTCAGAACATCTTCAAAGCAAAGCATCCGATGGACACAGAGATCACTAAAGCGAAGGTGAGGGCCTGTGCCGGGGTGTCCTCAGGCAGGCGCTGCCCGTGACCCGGTGCGACGTCTCGGTCTCCTGCTTCTTTTGGACAGATTATTGGATTTGGTTCTGCGCTTCTTGAAGAAGTTGACCCTAATCCTGCCAATTTTGTGGGGGCTGGCATCATACATACCAAAACCACCCAGATTGGATGCTTGCTGCGCTTGGAACCCAACCTGCAAGCCCAGGTCAGGCCTCTTGGGGAAGCGGCTGCACTTAGCTGATGTCTCTTTACTCTGTGCGACCTATACACAGCGGGGTGTGTGGATCTAAGCGTAGTCCGATCAGTCTCATCACCACCCTGTCAACCACATAACGTGTCCGTCACCCAGAAAGCTCCCTCACGTCCCAGCCTGCCCCAGTGGCGACCAGCACAGAGCGGACTGGGACCCGTGTGCTCAGCCTGTTGCTCGCGGCTGTTGACGCTCCCCTGTGCTGCTGCCTGTGCCGGCCTCCACCCTCCCCCGCCAGTGCTGCTCCTTCTCCCGGAGGAGCCCGACATGTGTCCAGCTCTCCTGCCAGACACCTGTTTTCACGTCACTTGGGTAGTGTCCAGGAGAGCAGTTGCCACCTGCTCTCCACCTCCGGGCAGGTGCGTGGTTAGTGGGGTGAGGAGCTGCCAGGCTGCCCCCAGGGTCGCCGTGCCATTTGAGGCCGTGTGAAGTCCCAGTCACCCGCGCTCGCCAGCACTTGCTGTCATCCGACTTTCCCATTTCCTCTATTCATAGCCCATGTGGTGCTCAGGCTGCGCCCTGTGAGCCCTGGCTGGGCTGACCTGCTGTGCTCTCTTGCAGATGTACCGGCTCACACTGCGGACCAGCAAAGAGACCGTCTCTCAGAGGTTGTGCGAGCTGCTGTCGCAGCAGTTTTGATCGGCGAGGATGGAAGACCAGGCCGTGCGCGTGTGCGCTTTCATCATCTCTGCCCATTGTCTCGGTGACCATCTTGCACATAAGCACCCTGTCCGCGTCCCGCAGCGCACGGTCTCCCGGCCGCTCTTCCAGGCCCGTCCCTCGTGGGCCGCCCAGGAGGAGAGGCTCAGCCCTGCAGGGGCCGAGTCCGGAGGAGGGAGTGTGGACCCTGGGATCAGTTTTTATAGAAATCAAGACAGTTCTGTGGTTAAATCTTCAAATTAAAGGGAGGTTAGAAGTTTGAACGGAAGTGGGAATTTTGTTGAGATTTTACTGAAATGCCGCTGCTCTGTTGATCATCTGCGCTCTGATTTTCTGAGCGTGGCAGCGCACGACCACTGCGCTGGTCGTGAGGCTGACCCTCAGCTACGTGGCTGTCCTTGCGGGTGGCCCCTGACGGGCCGGGCAGCACGTCCACTCAGGGCAGGGCCCTGGGAGGAGGGCATAGCTGTCCTTGTGGGTTTGCTGCTGCACCAGCTGCAGTTTTTCTGGGGCAGGATTTTAACCTAGAACCTAGAAACATTTGTTTTTAATGATGCTCCTGGTGAAAGCGCCTTTCCTGGCCAGGTCTAATTCTGTTCTCTTTTCCCAGCACCAGTGTTCTTGGGGGTGTTCGTAATGTTCTGACTGTTTGAGACCTTAACTTCGCAGTTTTGGGGCAGGAGTGTGCCGGGTGGCTCCGGAGGGTGCACACGTTGTTCCCCTTTTGGTTTCAAATGAGTATGCTGTCCCCACGGTGTGCCTGAGGACCTGGAGGTGTGCTGTCCCTTGCCCTGTCGAGGCAGGTCTGCCAGGGCCACGGGGTGGAGGAGGGGAACCTCTGTTTGGCCGGGAAGCAAGAGGCCGTGTGCAGGGACAGTGGCCCCAGACTCGAGCCACGCGGAACACGCTGCCCGCCGGTGGCCCAGCTCTCACCTGTCTTTCTGGCCCTGGCACCCGGGCTGCCCGTCTGGCACCTTGAGACAGGGGAGTGGAGCAGGGTTAAGAGGCCTCAGGAGCAAGGCCAGTGCCTGGGATTGGCGCAGACACAGATGGGGCTGGTTTGTCCTAAATACACGCAGCTGTCACCAGCAGCTGAGGACGCTGAGGAGGCGCGTGGGCACCGAGGTCAGCTCCTCCGTTGTCTGAGCAGCTTCTCTCTGCCTGACCTGCCCTGGAGGAGTCCACAGATGTACAACCTCAAGGGACATGGAGGGTGAGTGGTCACATGCGTGAGGTCTTTGCTCTGGCTGTCAGCCTGCTGCAGTGCGGGTCCTGGGGCAGCTGCAGGGGCTGCAGCCCACTCAAGGTCCCAGTGGCCCCCATGCCATGGGACCCACGTTTCTGTGTGGCTCATATTCCAGTGTGTTGGACTTGGGTCAGAGGGTGACAGTATCAGAGGAACCAGCACCGACTATGCTGGCCCTTCTATGTCCCGTGGAGGCTGTGGTCAGTGGCTGTGCCCCTGTACCATGGCCCACACCAGCCACAGCCCTGGGCTTGTCTGTGCAGCCAGAGTGATGTCCCAAACTGCCAGACAGTACTCTGTCCCCAGTGTGTGCTCATGCACCACCGTCTGGGCCGAGGGCACAGCCAGGCCCGCATGGTGTTTGCTCACAGGCCACGAGCAGCTCGTGGATGGTGTCCTGTGTTGTCAGCCCCTCCCTCAGGCAGAGGAGAGGCCTTCCCTGTGCGCTGCTCCGGAGGAGGTGCCCGTCAGTACAGTGTGCTCCATGTCAAAGAAAAATAAACGCTAGAACAGTGACCTGGCTCATGGGCGTTGTCTTTGGGGGAGAAAACATCCTATGTAAACCTCACAGACCCTGGGGGCTGTGTGAGGCGCTGGGTCCTGATGACCCCAGAGTGTCGCCTGCCCCGGGTGGCCTACCTTCAGCATGTGGGCTCACGGGTGGCAGCACAGAGTGACCTGGTGTTGCTCCACCCATCTGATTCTGGGCATTTGGTTGAGGCTTCTGGGCCATGGACCCTCGCTCTGCATTATGTGCTGGGGTGCAGCACCCTGGGGTTCCTTCCTGGGAAGGAGCCTGCTGAGTCACGCATGATGCGAGGGGCCCCTGCCTGGGCAGCCTCTGACTGGCCCGGCCCCTACAGGGAGCAGGAAGGGCTCCTAGGGGCAGACCAGGGAGGGTTGCCCTCAGAGGATGGTGGGCTTCAGTGGAGACTCTCGGGACAGACTTGGGCAAGGGAGGGGAGGGGCCCAGGGCCAGAAGTGGTGTCCCTTCCCTGCCCAGCCCCACTTGGGGCACAGCCCCGCCCAGGTCCTGGAGGCCGATGGGTGCAGATGTGAGTTGGGTTCACTCCTGAGGGGCTTGGGGGGTGGTGAAAGCAGCACTCAGAGACCAGTCTCTCTGCTTGACGGGAACCCGTTTATTTGCACTCTTTGTGGGCGGCACTGGTCTCCTCCTGGGTGCTGGCGGCAGCCCCTGCCTGGCTCTGAGGAGCCACTCTTCTCTGTGTGGTATGTACCTGAACCTCTTGCCCCTCCTGTCCCTGCTCGGGCCACCTCCCACACCTGCCTGATCTGCCCCAGTGTCTGCTTGGGGGGCTCCACTCCAGGGGCTGGTGCTGGTGGGGCTGGGTGGCTGTAGGCAGAGGCTGGGAGTTGGTTTGGATGGTGGGCAGGTGTGGCCGGGAGTGCCCTGTGGTCCCCCGTCCTGCCCTGCTGGGTCAGGGTCTGCAGGAGTGTGGCTGGTTCGAGCCTCTGCCTAGAAACCCCTCCCACAAAGGTGAGCCGTGTCCGAGGGCCCTTCCAAGGCTGCACCTTGTGACCAGGAAAGGGGCTGCCAGCACAAGCCTGGGAGGTGGCGGTGGCGGTGGCCGTGTTTGTCCTGGTTTTCAACCTGCAGCCCTGCACACCCAGGAGAGTTAGCAGTGTCCCTCCTAGTCCCTGCAGCCCTGGGGGCTACACCCACAGCTGCTGAACACCTGCAGGGTGAGCACGAGCCGCTCGCTGGGTGCACTGGGGTCTGGGCAGGGCAGCTCGAGCTGCCGCGTGTAGGAGCTGAGGGGGTGGCAGCAGCCGCAGTGGACGTCCACCTCCTGGGTGTCGATGTTGAAACTGCCGAGAAGCCAGGGTGGGGCAGGGGTCAGGGTCAGGGCTGCCTCAGGGGTGCCTGTTCCCAGAAGGCCCCCCTCCCCAGGCCAGCTCTGGATATGTGGACACCAAGTCCCCAGGTGAGGACCTCCCCAGCCTGCAGGTGCCAGGGCAGGGTGTGGCAGACAGGGTGCGGAGTGGCCGACCTGACCGGGCAGCACATGCCTGGGTTGGAAGTGGGCCTGGGCGTGGTGGATCTGCCCTGACCTCTGCCACGGCTCCACTACTGGGCACCTCGGGGACCCACTTCCCGTGGTGGGCTCTAGCTCAGGCCCACCCTGGATGCAGGGCAGGCTCCTGCTGGCGGGCTCACCTGGCAGAGGAAGCACAGACACCCTCGCAGCGGGTCATGGTCACGTTTGCTGTGCATCCCTTGAACGTGATCTCCTCCTGATGTTCCTGCACACTGCAGGCCCCTGGGAGCCGAGAGGCCGGTCAGAGGTGCCCGGGGCACACAGTTCAGCTGGTGACTGGGGCCCCTGCCTGCCTCTGGACACTCTCCTGCCCCGACTTCTACCCTTTCGGCTTCCCACCGAGCTCAGTCCTCAGCTCTGCACAGGAGCAGAGCCTGACAGTCTCTCAGATTGTGTTTTTTTCCTCACAGTTGCTGCACTGGAGTCCCTTGAGGCTGAGGATTTCTCAGAGGATACTAGGTGCTGAGCCCTGAGCCTGCTGAGCTACCCTGGTTCCCTGTGCCCCTTCCTGGGCCTGGACTCCGCCCTGTGAGCACGGGCGTCTCCAGTTTGCTGGACCCAGGACCTACGGGGGGTGAGGACAGGGTGTCAGTGTCCCCATAGGGGGCAGGCAGTGCCCCAGGAGGTCCTTGTACCCCAGCCTGGGGAGGACAGAAGCAGACCATGTCCCTTGGTCTAGGCTCAGGGAGAGGGTGGGGTCCAATGCAGAAGGACCATGACAGACAGCCTTGGTGAGAAACCCCGGCATGTGGGCAGCACGTAGCAGGGTAGACAGTGGCAATGCTGGTATTAGAAACTACCAGTGTGGGCCGGGTGCGGTGGCTCGTGCCTGTAATCCCAGCACTCTGGGAGGCCAAGTCAGGAGGATTGCTTGAGCCCAGCAGTTCAAGACCAGCCTGGGCAACAAAGCGAGACCCCATCTCTGCAAAAAATAGAAAAATTAGCCGGGCGTGGTGGCACATGCCTGCAGTCCCAGCGACTCAGAAGGCTGAGGCAGGAGGATTGCTTTAGCCCAGGAGTTGAAGGCTGCAGTGAGCTGTGATGACACCACTGCACTCCAGCCTGGGCGACAGAGTGAGACGTTGTCTCAAAAAAAAGCAAAAACAAAGTAAAAATGTAAAAAAACACTGCAATGTAGAACTTGGGTTAAAAAGTTTAGAAAAATACCTGGACAGAGATATTCTGTCCATATCCCCTCCCCTGGCTGCAGCCAAGTTCACTGCTTGACAGCAGAGAAGGAAGGCTGCTTGGAGTGCTTCCTGCCCCACTTCTCTGCGAGGGCTTTCTCCAGAAGGTAGGGCCCTGTTGCCCCAGTGGTCCTCCCCTCCTGGCCACTCCTGTGCCCTCACCTCTGCTTCCTGGGGCCACCTCCCCAGAAACAGCCTATACCCAAATCCTTGTCTTGGAGAGACCCAAGCTAAGACTCTGTCGGCCTACACAGGTGAGGTGTCACCCACAGGAGACACTGCAAAGCTGACAGTTGTGTTGCTGGGACGTCCTGCCTGGGTGAGGCCTAGGCATATGAGGGGAGCCAGTCCCTGGGTGGGTGCCGTGGGAGGAACACAGGGTGGGTTTGGGCAGCTGCTGCCACTGAGGCAAGGCCTGAGGGTATGCTCTGTCTCCAGGGAGTCCATGACCTGGGGGCAGTGGACTTGCTCATGGGCAGGAGGGCACAAGGAAGCCAGGAGGAGCTATGGCCATGATACCTGGGGAGAGCCCCTACCGAGACAGCGAGCCTGCTAACCAGGCCCAGCTCTACATGCAGCAGGTCAGCTGGGAGAGGCACGAGGTGCACTCAGCTCCTTCCCCTCTCTGCACCCAGTGGTTGCACTGCCGGAGCCCCAGGGCCCCGCCAGCCCTAACATCCTCTGAGCGCCAAAAGGGGTGGCTGCGGAAGGTTCTTGGGGTCGATTCCCAGCAGGGGGGACAGGGGCACAAGTGAGCCAGTGGAGGAAACAGACCATCAAGGCCCAAAGGAGCCCAGCTGGGTGGCCAGTACCTGTTTGCAGGGGGTCCTGAAGACCAGAGGAGAAAGGACCTGGAGCCACATCGAGGAGGCCTGACACAGGCCTGCAGACGTGGGCAACATGGGATCCTGGGTGCATGCTGAGGCCAACCCTATACAGCAGGTGAGGCGTGCAGAGCCAAGGCCAGGAGGAGGCCAGGCACCAAGCACCCGTGATGGGCGGCAGAGGTGACACTTACCAGATGTGCTGGGTGGAGGAATGACCGGAGAAGAGGAGGAGGCAGGGGCAGATGTGCTTCCATGCGGAGTGAAGGAGGTGGTTGTGAGCGTGGAGGTGGGCACCTGGGTGGGGCTCGGGTGCCTGGTGGGGAAGGACGTGGCTGGAGGACTTGGGGTTGCCGTCAGGCCCAAGGTGGAAGACAGTGAGCCTGCCATGGGGACCTCGGTGGAGAGAGAAGTGATACGCAAGGTTGTGGCCTGAGAGGAGGCTGTGGAGGAAGTGGGGGTGTGGGCCGTGGTCCTGGGTGTGGAAGGAAAAGCAGTGATGCTGAAGGCTGGGCGGTGGGACTCCGTGGGAGACACAGGCAGGGTAGGCATGAAGGATGGAGCAGAGGGGGTGAAAGCCAGGGTGCTAGCGGGCGAGGGGGAGGACCTTGCAGCAGTGGAGGCAGAAAGGGAGGAAGGGAAAGGGGAAGTAGATGTAGACTTAGATGTAGTAAGGGACACACTGGAGAATGTGGTGCGGGAGCTAGAGCTCAGAGTGAGGGTGTGCACGGGAGCAGACATGACAGCGGAGGATGTGCCAGCAGAGAAGAAGGACGTCCAGGTGGCAGGCTTGGGGGAGAAGGCCTGAGGAGACACAGAAGATGGGGTCGGGCTGCTGGTTGGCAGAAGGGTGGGAACGCTGGTCCTGGGAGACAATGGAGAGGAGTGCAAAGGATTAGGTGGAGAAACAACAGTGGTAGAAGCACTGGGAAGCAGGGCACCCGAGGAAGGAGAAGATGAAACAAGAGGGTTCCAGCTGGAGTTCTGGGGCATTGAGGAGGAAGGAAATGAGACGAGGGAGGGGGAAGTAGAGGTTCTGGCTGTGCCAAAGGAGGTCTGTGCTTGGGTGGTCCCAGTGAGTGATGTAGGCGTCTGGGTGAGCCCTGTGGGCTTCAGAGATGTCGATGGAAGCGTGGTGGCCGTTGCCTTTGGGGTGGAGGCGGAAGTGGGTAAGTGTGAGTGGGCTGTGGTGCTGCGTTGGTGATTGGTTGGAGTGACCGAGGAGGTGGACGATGGTGGAGTGGTAGTGGGGAGTGTGGTCTCGGGGTGTGTAGGCGTCGGCTGGGAGCTGGTTGTCTTGAAGGAGGTTCCAATGGGAGGCCCCGTGGAGTGTGGAGTGGAGGAGACTGGGGCGGAATTAGGGGATTGTGTGGTGCGGGTCGTGTGTTGACCGGTGCTGGTGGCTGTTGTGGTTTGGACCATGTGGGTCGCAGTTGTGAGGGTGGTGAGTCTGGGGGTGATGGTGGTGGAAGAAGATGGGGTAGCCTCGTGGTGGGTTGTGGAGAAGCGTTGTGAGTGCTGAGTGGTCGAGGTTCTGGCTGTGCTGAAGGAGGTCTGGGCTTGGGTGGTCGCACTGAATGATGTGGGCGTGTGGGTGGGCCCCGTCGGCTTCAGAGATGTCGATGGAAGCGTGGTGGCCGTTGCC